AAGTGAAATAAACTTAAGAGGCTCACTAAAAGAGCAGGGCAACTCCCAGTGTATTTTCAATTGTGTTCATGACGTCATTAAGCATAAATACAGCATTTATTTACATTTATGGTGCCACTACAGCTGGTGTCCTTCTCTCTTCACCGAGTCCTGAACTTTCTGTCAGCTACTGGAGATCTATAGCTTTGTGGAGTCTGTAACTTAATAGTGAGAAGTTGGCCTCTATTCACACACAGATCTAGGAAACTGGATTTAGCAAAGGAAATATTTCAACACTGTCCACAAAATATAACTTGTTTCAAAGTGGGTTTTTCCCCCCTCTGCTATACATATGTTATTGTAGTGTTGCACTGCTTTCTCTAAGTTTCCATTTCTGGCTAAGTTTCTATTCCTACATGTTGGTTTCTGTTTTGTAACTCGGCCCAAATAAAACAGCTGAACACATTTTAAGCTGACTGAAACAGAAGAGAATAACCTTTGTGACATTTACCTGTCTTCTTCATTAAAGACATAAAATTGTGCATTTTGGGCAACAAAGCATTATATGGGGTCTCATTTAATATTTTTTATTACTCAAAGGGCAGCAAGGATCCAGTTTCCAAGATGTGTGGCAGAGTGCAATAATTTCCAATCAAAATTAATCTCTTGTTGCTGCTTGGCCCATGAAGTCATCAGATGTTAATGTAACTGTATAGGTGTCAAATGTATGACATGCCTATAGACCCTACATAAAGGTGGACGGTGGAATACTGATCAAGTCTTGATTTGAGTTGTACAGCATAGCCTCTGATTAAGGACGTTTAATATAACGACGATTCTTAGTTCAATGGTGCTTTAGTGGACAATTTAAGTTAGGTGCTGTATAAAAATACTGTAAATTTGGAGGTACTGAATGTCGAACTACAGCCTTGTTAAAGTTGTTGTGGAGGGAATTTCTCCTTATCCGATTTAAGAGTCTAAGGACAAAGGTTGCTGTACAGATTGTAAAGCCCCTTGAGGCAAATTTATGACATTAGGCTATAAGAATAAATCTGACGACTTGATTTGAGACACACCCATGAGAAACTGGGTGAGGAGGGAAGTGAGTAAAATTCTACAAGACCACAACCGCCTTCACAAGAAGGAAGTAGGGCATTGAATGCAGACGATCTACGAGAACAGAAGAACACTGGTAAGTGCAATTATGCAAGATTTATGATTTCAAAGAACTTAAAGTGTTTATATATATATCTGATGATTTTAGTGTATTTGTAGATGACCTAGTGAAATGCCACATAAATGTTAACTATCTGTCAGGGTGGGGCAGGGAGCGGACCCAAAATGCAGACACAACCAGAGTCCAAGATATGTTTGGATTATTTAGCGAATGAACGGGCAAGAGAAAACAACTACGTGCTCGACATTGGTCTCAGATGTTCACAAAAAAGTCAGAAACATTAAGTGTCTCACCAAAAGTGAGGACAAGATGACAACGAAGGGCATCCAGGAGCAGACGACAGGAATAAGCCAGAGCAGGAGAACAGGCAAACGGGAACAGCGAGTACTAGTGAGCAGAGTGGCCGAGGTTGGTGAGCTAATGAACCGGCAAGTTATTGGTGTAAGGAAGGAGTGTGTATGTATACTGTTGACATTTTAATGTATAATGTGCTCTCTTATTGGGTTTGTATTTATATTGTATTGATTTGTATGTGGTAGTGATCATGTGACCTAATTAGGATTTGAATGATTGCACCTGAGTGTTTTTAGTGTTGGTTAATAAAAGGAAGTGCGTTAGCACAAATTGTTGTGAAACGCTAAAGCAAGACTACGTTATCGTGTGATGTTTGGTATACTCTGCTAACATATACACAGCCAACCGAGGAATAACAAGGGACAGGTGAATACAATGAGTGTTGATTGGGGCAGGTGAGGTGAAACAGAACAAAGTACTCACAAAATAAAGGAACAAGACAGGATGCAAGTTCAAACCGTAACAATATCAGGCTATTGATGCCACAGAGACATACCCTCATATCATTAAATGAATAAAAGCAGAGAACCAGAAGATGATGGTTTTAATGGAGAAGTAATTAAATTTGATTCTAGAAGTTCATGCTGTGAGTCCAGAGTTGTTTTAATCAATTAGTCTTTGGAAAAAGCTGGACACCTTTTTAAGTCTCTAGCTTAACATAGTACTCTGTCAGTTTAATTCTGCCAAATTGGGGCTTTTTAATGTGAATCACGAAAGTGATTGTTTTAAGATTATGTTTTACTACCGCTTCTGACTAAGTCCCGCCCACTTTCCGCATCTTTCTTCCGCCTAGGTCAAAGGGCAGATCGGTAACTATATCCATCAAAGGGTTTCGCATATCAGCATTACTTTCCTACAGCTGAACATTGTTTTATAGGTTTTATAACTGCATTGTTGGATTTTATTAGGATTCCCCACAGGGGAATAGGACCGAAGACCACCTGCATATCATAAAGCCTTCTTTCTCATGGACAAAGTGCAACACCCCCCAGACTATATGGACACATCAAAGGGGTGTTATTATATTAGGTCTGACCACCAGCACAGATAGTTTATTGCTCTTTAAATATTTTATCTTTTTTTTTTTTTAAATGTAAAGTAAATAATTAAGCATAGGAAATGTGGATGTTTTTCCCATCACAGTTTAGTTTCAAGGAAGTGTACCTGTGATAGTGTTTATAAATAATAAAGCGGATAATCCTCGTAATTCAAACAGAAGCTAGTGTTTCACCGCCACAGTTTAATTTCAAGGACGTTCAGCCAATAGTTTTTGATGCCTGAAACACTCTAAAGGTCGATAATGTTAGGATTAAAATAGAATTAATTCTCTTTTCTGTAATCAGATATTAAATTAGCATTGCAATTAATTTTCCTAAGCATGGGGAAATGCAGCTGTTTCACGTCAACATATAAGGAAGTTTAGACACAAAGGTTTTGATACATGGCAATGTAAAAACAAGTTCCTACATTTAATTAACAGATCCACTTTTAACTAAACAATGATTTCTTTAACAGGCATGTAGAGTTTTTAAACAAAAGTCTTACCTCCAGAGTAAGATCCAATTTATTAAAAAATATAACTATTAGTTCATAATACACAATATAAATAGATAATTCCTTACTTCTGACTGGCATCTTGGTGACATGGTGGTATGATCAGTTGATCATATTTGAAAAAGGCAATCTTTCCCTTAACTCTTGCATCCTTTAGCTGGAGAATAAGCTCTTTTCATTTCATGTGCACCCTCTTTGATAGATCTTCATTAATGAAATAGTTAGAGCCCTTTAGCGATTTAGCTCTTGTGGAAAAAATGATCTTATTAAAACTCGGTGAGTGTAAAATAAAGACTTAACATCAGCTCTAAAAGTTATTACACATTTATTTCTTCAGAAAGGAGCAATCTCTAGACAGATGTCTAAACAGTCTGAAGAGGATCTCAGAACAGAGGGCTACATCTCTTCTTATACACACACATACTGATGCAAAACAGGATACAAGTTATTTGGTTCAGCATTCACACAAAGGCATGTTTACTGCGTCAGGATGTTTGTAGAGATAAACTGTCTAGTTTCACAAGCACACAAATGACTGCATAGAATAACTACATAGCAACAGCCAATACACTAAAAAAGGGTGCTAGTATAAATTACCCATTACGCTTTACAATGTAGGAGACTGACCACAGGTGGTCTACTTCTTCCCCCAGTGTCAAGTTTCCCACTGGGATATACTCTTTAAATCTCAATGTGTGTTGGCTCCATCTTCAGGTTTTCAGAGAACTTTCTTAACTTTTATTTCAGTCATTCTATGATTCATTTTTCTAATCAGGAAAGCCATCGATCACTATATTTTTTCGCCAAGATTGATTCTCCACATAATTAATTTTCGTAAAACTTGGTCTGACATATTTTGAAGTTTTTCCAAATCCTTAGAAATGGCTGTGTGATTAGCATTAACAAACTGAACTCTTCAGTTTCTTGTGTAAAATGAACTGAACTAAACTGAACTGACTATTGCTGATATCTTGGACATCCTTAACAATAGTATCAATAAGACTATT